TTCCCGGCAGCTCCCCACGTCCACTTCTCCAGGCAAAACTCGAACGGGCAGCGCCAGTGTCCTCCCTCGGCGTCTTTACCCGGCTCGTGCCGATGGTGGGACTTCACGCACCGGAGCCAGAACTTCGGGTTCACCGGGAGGAAGAAGCATTTGGGGCAGCTGTACATCAGCAGCACGCCGCCGCCCAGCACGACGTGGAAATCCCCAGCAGCGGCCACCTCGCTCTGGACGCACACCTTGTGGTAGACCTCGTCCCAGGTCACGTCGGACTGCATTCGGTCGAACGCCTTCGCCGCCAAGTGCTCCAACACGTCGGCCTCGGACCTCGAGTCGCGCCCGAAGTACCTCTTCCGCTTGTTCCCAAACGAAGCATGCAAGCGCACCTTGTCGCCGTCCCTCTCCTTGACATAGTACTCGGAGTCGCCCTCGGTGCGCTCGCCGAAGCACGAGAAGCACATGTGGCGCAAATCGGGCTTGTCCTCGTCGATGTCGATGATATTCTTGAACTCCTGCTTCTCGCCACACATGTCCGCGATGGTCTTCATGCCCCTGGCGACGCGGGCCGAACCTTGGGGCACGTTGCCCTGGCCGTCACACGGCACCAAGAACGAGGAGACGGGGAAACTTGCGTCGCAGAAATCGCAATTGTACGGCCTCCTGACCACGCCGCGCCCACCATCGAAGTCGGGCGTCCCCAGCGGAGGAGGCGGCATACCGCTGGACGCGGAGGCGTCTACCTCGGCGCGACCGTCCGCAGGCGGCATACCGCTGGACGCGGAGGCGTCTACCTCGGCGCGACCGTCCGCAGGGGGGGCGGCCGAGACGTCGCCCACTTTGACCTTCTTGGGCCCCTTGCCCTTCCCCTTGCCGCCCGGCCTCTTCGGAGCCATGAGCGCCAGGGCGCCGCAGAGCGCCAGCCAACTGATGGCGAACTCTGCGTACTCCGCCAGGCACACCAACGCGGCCGCGGCCGGCATGACCCTGGGGGTGCAATCGCCAAACGGCCCAGGGGCCGCGCGGCTGACCCTATGGGTACACGCGCCACGCGGCCCGTCCGCGGGCAAGCGCGCGCCCGCAGGGGAGTCCCCCGGCTGACCCTGGGGGGGCAAGCGACGCGCGGCCCCGCCCGCGGGCGCGGAGAGCCACTCGAACAGGGGCCGCGCGGCTGACCCTAGGGGTACACGCGCCACGCGGCCCGTCCGCGGGCAAGCGCGCGCCCGCAGGGGAGTCCCCCGGCTGACCCTGGGGGGGGCAAGCGACGCGCGGCCCCGCCCGCGGGCGCGGAGAGCCACTCGAACAACGGAAGTTGGAGGAGGAGGAGGAGGAGGATATAGAACCGCATGCGTGGAAACGTTTTCACGACACGGGGAGGGAGCCAGTACGAGTTTTCAACGAATCGGCGTGCCGAAATCATGGCGACTGGGGTGTGGTCGTTCTGGGGTGTGGTCGTGTTGGGGTGTGGTCGTGCTGGGGCGTGGTCGTGCTGGGGTGGGTGCTGGAGTGTGGTCGTGTTGGGGTGTGGTCGTGCTGGGGCGTGGTCGTGCTGGGGTGGGGTCGTGGTGGAGTGGGGTCGTGCTGGGGTGTGGTCGTGCTGGGGTGGTCCGAACCCTGTGACTTATCGATCGGGTCGTGCTGGGGTGTGGTCGTGCTGGTGCTGGGGTGTGGTCGTGCTGGGGTGTGGTCGTGCTGGGGTCCTGCTGGGGTGTGGTCGTGCTGGGGTGTCGTGCTAGGGGGTAGAAAAAACAAATTCTGAAAAACAAGCGTTTCGCTCGAGACATCCTCGACAAATTCTGAAAAACAAGCGTTTCGCTCGAGACATCCTCAAATTTTAATTCGCGGGCGCTCAAAAACAAGCGTTTCGCTCGAGACATCCTCAAATTTTAATTCGCGGGCTCGTTATTTATCAGGGAAAAATTCGCCGGCCTCCTTCGACCTCGTTATTTATCAGGGAAAAAATTCGCCGGCCTCCTTCAAGCAGGCACCGGGGGACAGGTTTACCTACTAAAAGAGAACCCTGGGCTTAAGCCCTTTCCGGGAAAATGATGAAACCATGTGTTTTCATTGGGACGCCTGGGATTATATTATTTTCCGCCCGCCAGCGAAAATCAAACCCAGGAGCCCTCCCAGGAGCTCTGGCCCCCATAGAATCCATAAAACCAAAAATGGAAACGCATGGTCTCCTCATTTCTCATCCCAGAAATCTCAAACATCCATGTAGAAAAACCACACACACACAAGTTTTGCGATGACAGGAATGCGGAAGCCCTATGTGTTCATGTGTATGTTTGATTTCGGGGATGACAAGTGGGGAAGCCGGGTGTTTTCAGGTAGACGTTGGGGTATCTCTCCAGCCCTCCCTAGGTGGGGCTCTCGTGTCTGTGTCTGTGTGTCTGTGTGTCTGTGTGTCTGTGTGTCTGTGTGTCTGTGTGTCTGTGTGTCTGTGTGTCTGTGTGTCTGTGTGTGTCTGTGTGTGTCTGTGTGTGTCTGTGTGTGTCTGTGTGTGTCTGTGTGTGTCTGTGTGTGTCTGTGTGTGTCTGTGTGTGTCTGTGTGTGTCTGTGTGTGTCTGTGTGTGTCTGTGTGTGTCTGTGTGTGTCTGTGTGTGTCTGTGTGTGTCTGTGTGTGTCTGTGTGTGTCTGTGTGTGTCTGTGTGTGTCTGTGTGTGTCTGTGTGTGTCTGTGTGTCTCTGTTGTCTCTGTGTGTCTCTGTGTGTGTCTGTGTGCTCTGTGTGTCTCTGTGTGTCTCTGTGTTCTCTGTGTGTCTGTGTGTGTCTGTGTGTCTCTGTGTCTCTGTGTCTCTGTGTGTCTTCTGTGTGTCTCCTGTGTGTCTGTGTGTGTCTGTGTGTGTCTGTGTGTCTGTGTGTCTCTGTGTGTGTCTTGTGTGTCTGTGTGTGTCTGTGTGTGTGTCTGTGTGTGCCTGTGTGTGTGTCTGTGTGTGTCTGTGTGTGTGTCTGTGTGTGTCTGTGTGTGTCTGTGTGTGCCTGTGTGTGTCTGTGTGTGTCCGTGTGTGTCTCTCTGTGTCTCTGTGTGTGCTCTGTGTGTGTGTCTCTGTGTGTCTGTGTGTCTGTGTGTCTCTGTGTGTGTCTCTGTGTGTGTGTCTCTGTGTGTCTCTGTGTGTCACTGTGTGTCTCTGTGTGTCTCTGTGTGTCTCTGTGTGTCTCTGTGTGTCTCTGTGTGTCTCTGTGTGTCTCTGTGTGTCTCTGTGTGTCGCTGTGTGTCGCTGTGTGTCTCTGTGTGTCTCTGTGTGTCTCTGTGTGTCTCTGTGTGTCTCTGTGTGTCTCTGAGTGTCTCTGTGTGTCTCTGTGTGTCTCTGTGTGTCTCTGTGTGTCTCTGTGTGTCTCTGTGTGTCTCTGTGTGTCTCTGTGTGTCTCTGTGTGTATCTGTGTGTCTCTGTGTGTCTCTGTCTGTCTCTGTGTGTCTCGGTGTGTCTCGGTGTGTCTCTGTGTGTCTCTGTGTGTCTCTGTGTGTCTCTGTGTGTCTCTGTGTGTCTCTGTGTGTCTCTGTGTGTCTCTGTGTGTCTCTGTGTGTCTCTGTGTGTCTCTGTGTGTCTCTGTGTGTCTCTGTGTGTCTCTGTGTGTCCCTGTGTGTCTCTGTGTGTCTCTGTGTGTCTCTGTGTGTCTCTGTGTGTCTCTGTGTGTCTCGGTGTGTCTCTGTGTGTCTCTGTGTGTCTCTGTGTGTCTCTGTGTGTCTCTGTGTGTCTCTGTGTGTCTCTGTGTGTCTCTGTGTGTCTCTGTGTGTCTCTGTGTGTCGCTGTGTGTCTCTGTGCGTGTGTGTGTCTGTGTGTGTGTCTGTGTGTGTGTCTGTGTGTGTGTGTCTGTGTGTGTGTCTGTGTGTGTCTGTGTGTGTCTCTGTGTGTCTGTGTGTGTCTGTGTGCGTCTGTGTGTGTCTGTGTGTGTCTGTGTGTGTCTGTGTGTCTCTGTGTGGGTCTGTGTGTGTCTGTGTGTGTCTGTGTGTGTCTGTGTGTGTGTCTGTGTGTGTGTCTGTGTGTGTCTGTGTGTGTCTGTGTGTGTGTCTCTGTGTGTCTCTGTGTGTCTCTGTGTGTCTCTGTGTGTCTCTGTATGTCTCTGTGTGTCTCTGTGTGTCTCTGTGTGTCTGTGTGTCTGTGTGCCTGTGTGTCTTTGTGTCTTTGTGTCTGTGTGTCTGTGTCTGTGTGTCTGTGTGTCTGTGTGTCTGTGTGTCTGTGTGTCTGTGTGTCTATGTGTCTGTGTGCCTGTGTGTCTGTGTGTCTGTGTGTCTGGGTTGTGTCTGCGTGTCTGTGTGTCTGCGTGTCTGCGTGTCTGCGTGTCTGCGTGTCTGCGTGTCTGCGTGTCTGCGTGTCTGCGTGTCTGCGTGTCTGCGTGTCTGCGTGTCTGCGTGTCTGCGTGTCTGTGCGTCGTGCGTCTTGCTGTCCGTGTGTCTTGTGTCAGTGTGTGTGTGTGTCAGTGTGTCCTTTGTCGTCATGTGTCGTGTGTCTATGTCTGTTGTCTGTGTTGAGTGTCTGTGTTGTGCCTGTGTGTCTGGGTGGTCTGTGTGTGTGTGGGTGTGTGTGGATGTGTGCGTGTGAGCATGTGCGTGTGTGCGCGTGGGGCGTGTGTGCGTGTGTTGCGTGTGTGCGTGTTGCGTGCGTGCGTGCGAGCGTGCGTGCGTGCTTGCTGTGCGTCGTGCTTGCGCGCGTGCCGCGGTGCGCGTGCGCGTGCGCGTGCGCGTGCGCGTGCGCGTGCGCGTGCGCGTGCGCGTGCGCGTGCGCGTGCGCGTGCGCGTGCGCCCGCGCGCGCGTGCGCGTGCGCGTGCGCGTGCGCGTGCGCGTGCGCGTGCGCGTGCGCGTGCGCGTGCGCGTGTGTGTGTGTGTGTGTGTGTGTGTGTGTGCGTGTGTGTGTGTGTTCCGCGACACCTCCCTCAACGCGTCTCACGTCTGCGGCCTTGCTACGCCATGCCACGTTTAGAGGCACCCGCCTAGTTGGCCGATGTCGCCTGTAGGTTCCCCAAACATTGCTTGCACTTAAGGGTTCTGTATTGCTTGTGCTCCAAAAAACTGGACCGCGTGGCCGGTCTGGCGGCTATGTACTCGCCATCGCCGCCTCGCCGCCGCCGCGTCGCCGCCCATCGCATGGGCCGTGTCTTCGGTCTGGCGACTATTAAGCCGCTGTCGCTTCCCCGTGGCCGCCCCGTCGCCGCCCGTCGCCAGCGATGGATTGCATCACACAGGTTGCAGAACAACAACATCGCGCCTGCGGCACGCTTTTTGATCGCTCGCAACATTGATTGCACCAGATGCATTGCGCATCCGCGGTGAGCTGGACCATTGCCTGGCCGCTGAGGTCGAAGATAGCACCAGCCAACTACGTCACATCCAACTGGTGTGCACAACAGCAGCATCACCATGGTGCATTATGTAGTGCTGGACGAGCTGCTTTCCAAAAGAGCTGGTGCGACGATAGCAGGGCTCACAAGCAGGATCAGTGCAGACTGCAAGTGTGGACCCCCCACGTGCAATGATTGTATCCCAGATGCTTACGTGACCGAGATCACGATACCTCAGATCGTAACCAGCGGCTGGGGCAATGAACTCCACCTTGGTGAAACCAGCGTCAGACAGGACATTACGTGCAGCAATGACGCCAGGGTTTGCACCTATTCTTTTTGCTGCATTTGTGTCCCAGAGTGCTGGTAAAGCACTGGTATTAAATGGCAAGTCAGAGACGAGAACCTTTTGTAAGTTGGGCGCATGAGCATGCGCATGCTGAACCAAACGCTCGGCGCAAAATGAATAGTTGATCTGGCTGAGAGCCTCGGACCGCCAATGATATACGACATAATTTCCAGTGATTCCCTTCCCTGGCAAAGCTGGCGCAAGTTCATTCTGCTCCAGGATATCAGCTACCTCTGCTTCGCGAGCGGATGAAAAATTAAAGTAAATAGGTGCCACGTGGAGCGCCTCGAGAAAATTCTTCCGCAGGCTGAGTATACCAACGTGCGTTGCGTTTGCCGTTGCCTGCCTCCAAGCGCTGAGACTCCTCGGCCCCGGCAGGGCGAGCTCATCACATCCGAACCCCGACCCGAGCGACTTCATGCAAAACACCATCTCTGGGTGCAGGTCGCCCTTCGCTGGACTGAACGCATCGAGATTCCAGCCTGACATCTCATAGTACTCAGAAAGCGGCAGAGGGTCTGAAACGTTCTCCGTACACGAGACCACTCTCCCGTCCTTCGCACAGGGCATCACACCAATCTGACCACTGCTGCTTGTAAGGTTTAAAAACTGTGCCAGCGTTGTGGGAAACGTGCCCATTCCTTCACAGGCGTTTACCAAGATCACTCGTGCAACAGCTTCTTGTGAGGAAATCAAGGCCTGGTTTCCTTGTAGCGCGCGCAACTTGTTTTCCTTGTGCAAGTCGCCCGTAGAGACAACAGTATAGCACGACGCCCAGAAACACAGAGCAAGGCATGCGCCAACCGATGCCAAACAGGTGTTTGTCTTTCCCCAGCTACTACCCCTCCTTTCCAGCCAAGGAGCTACTGTAATCAAAGGTAAGGTTTCGTCCATGGTTAGGTCACCGTTGCTTTCAACGGACAACGCCGCCCTGATAAACAAATCCTAACCGCGCTCCGCCAAGACCACTACTGCATAGAGCTTGAGCCAAAATCCAATAACCACTTTGGGGCGATGATGGGCCCACGTTGGGCTCCGAAGCGGGGCCCAAACTGGCCCAGGAACAGGATACGTTGGAACCGAGCTCGGGCCCGACTCGGGGGCGCTCCCGCCCAGGCCGTCTCAAAGCCCTGCTGGGACCACCCTCGAGCGCCTCTGGGGCTCTTGTCCAGCCTCTTGGGGGGGCCTTCTTGGACTGTCTCTGGATCGGAAACAGTGCCGCAGGGCCAGCCCTGTGCTTCTCCCCTATGGACGGTGGCGAAGATGACAGCGATGATGCCGATGACGATGACGATGGCGACTCGAGTAGGGGACCGACTACAGAATTCATTTGCCCAAAGATTAAGTTTCCCCGTAGAATGTCGTAAATATGATGAGAGCTCTTAAATGTTCCATAGGTTCATTCTGGGGTAAATAAACTATGTAGTCGATCCCCTACTCGAGCAATGGCCATGATGACGATGACGATGACATCGGTTATCGTGACGATAGCGAAAACGACGAGGATAATTGTGAGATGGATCTGCGCGTGATAATGGTGACTGCACCACTTCGACAGGACGCAGATTGCCGGAACGACCTGGGCAGCGGATCCCACGAGGACCGCACCGCTGCCACGGGACGCCGATGGCCAGGAGCCCCACGATGACGACGATTGCTGCCGCTCTTGGGCCCGCCCCGTCCTCTAAGGGGGGGGGGGCTGGCCCAGGGGCGAACATCACAACCTAAACATAGGAGTAGGTCGGGCGTGTCCCCCTTACAGGCGGATTCTGGACGACAAACAAAACTACCCCCGAAAGAATCAAAACTGTCGAAACATAGCTTAAACAACTCGTTCTTTAAAAGAAAAAATGGTGGTGACCTGGAACCGGCGATGCATCGCCGACGCTTCCGCGAAGGGCGCCCGCCCGCGAAACCGCGCGCTCCTGGGTGGGGTGGTGCCCGCCCCGACTTGGCGACGACGGATCGGGGCGCAGAGCTTGGCGAGTGGGGAGGCCCCTCCCCCCCATCCCCCCCTCCCTCCCCCTCCTTCCCACCGCCCTCGCCCTCGCCCTCGCCCGCATCCAGCCTCCTCCCTCAGCAACATATCGCCTCCCTCCCCCCCCTCCCCCCCCCCCCCCGCAGCGTGCTCCTCCCTCTTCCCCCCCCCCTCCCCCTGGGGAAATGGGGCGGGGAGCTGGCGAGGGAGGAGGAGGAGGAACTCCTACCAAGAGCGCACGCTCCGCGGGCGGGGCCCCGGGGGTCGAGGGTTCACCCCTGGGCCCCGAGTGGAGGGTCAGTGGTTCCCCCCCTCTGGGCCGCCCCCCCCGTCGTTGCTCAAAATCTGGACTACGCGAGGAAGTCTGAGCCGATCGGTCTGCGAACGGATCGGTCTGCGAATCACAACTCTGGCCTCGCACGGCCGTTCGGGACGATCTGGGCACACCCAAACGCCCCTCGGCGAGGTGCAGCTGATGGAAAGCACTCTGGGCCCCGAGCACCTCCAAAAGCACAGAAACAATAGCAGAAGTCATGCAGCAGACGCAGACACTGAAAACTCTTGCCCCCGGACACCCTGGGCGCATTCCGAGTCGGTCCTTGAAGGTCCTACGGTCAAGACGTTTGGTATTGGTCTTCTACCAGAGCTATAACTGAACAACTGCTTGCACTCTGCCTTTTTTGTATGAGAAATGCTTGCTTCCTGTACTCAATTCGAGCTGTAGGCTAGCCTGCAACCCCCACCCCTCCTCAAAAGAAGGGCTGGGGGGAGGAGTTCGAGGGCGGATGCCCCAGGAGCCCTCCCTCTCAGGAGCAGGTGTTTGGGAGCGGGGTGGGGGGTGCTCGGTCTTCCCTCCCAGGACGCCCCCCTCGCCCCCCGGACACCCCTCCCTCGGAGGGTGTTTTTCGGGGAGGTGGCGAAAATGTTCCCCCTGGAGCCCCTCCTTATCAGGAGGAATTCTGGGAGTTTGGGAGGGGTTCGAGGGCTCCCCCCCCCTCCCCCCCAGACCCTCACCCCTTCAGGGGGAGGTTTTTGGGGGGGGTCAAAGAAGGTTGGGGAGTTTCTCGTCACAGGGGCTTGTGGAGGAGATGAAGAGGGGCTGGTGAGTTTCCAGGAAGCCCCCCTCATGAAGGGTTTTGTAGGGGGCAGGGGTGGGTGGTGGGTCTTCCCCCCAAGAACCCCCCCCTTCAAGGAAGGTTTTTGGGGAGGTGGGGGTTGGGAAGGTTTTTCCCGCGGACCCCCCCCTCAGGGGGGGGGGTCGGAGGGGAGGTCCCTCCAGGAACTCCCCCTCAGGGATGGGGGGTGGGAGAGCGAGGAGGGGCCACCCAGACCGCCCCCCCCCCCAGGGAGAGGGGAGGGTTAGGGGGGATGCGGTTTCCCCTCAAGAAAACCCCTCTCAGGGGAGGCGCTTTTTGGGCGGTTGGGGGAAGCTGGTGGGTTGTTTCTCCACGACCCCCCCCTCAGAAGGATGACTGGGAGAGGTTAGGGGGGAGGCGATCCCCCCAAAAACTCCCCCTCAGGAGAATTTGTTGGATGAGGTTGGGGGGGAGTGGGGAGGTCCCCCCAAGAAACCCCTCTCACGGATGTGTTTTTGGAGGAGGGGCGTGTATTCCAATTGTGATGCAATTTGAATATACGTGGGGTGTAGCGGATCCCAGATTTAGCTGATTACAAAGTTATTCATATTGGAACCACAAAGAACTGAATGTTCTTTATTGTTGTGTTCTTTCTCTCTCTGTCTTTCTCTCTCACACTTTCTCGTTTATCATATTTGTTTGTTCTCTCTCTCTCTCTCTCTCTATGTCGCTCTGTCTCTCACTCTCTCTCTCTATATCTCTCTCTCTCTGTTCTCTCTCTCTCTCTCTCTCCCTCTCTGTGTCTCTCTCTCTCTCTCGTTCTTGCGTTTCTTCTGCCTCTCTCTCTCTCTCTTGTGCTTCCTCTTTCGCTCTGTCTCTCTCTCTCTCTTCATCTGTCTCTCTCTCTCTCTCTCTTTCTCTCTCTCTTTCTCCCCCAAACACCCAACACAATCCCTGTGAAAGCGAAAGGTTTGCCATGTCATGGGTGCGTTTGGGATTCCTGGGATGAAACATGAGGAAACCACGTGTTTTCACTGGGATGCTTGGGATCATCTGATTTTCCTCCCGTCAGCGAAAATCAAACCCAGGAGCTCTGGCCCCCAGAATACATAACATCAAAACAAAAACTGGCAACGCATGGTCTCCTCACTTCTCATCCCAGAATTCTCAAACATCCATGTAGAACAAAAAACACAAGGTTTGCGATGGCAGGAATGCGGAAGCCCTGTATGTTCATGTGTATGTTTGACTTCGGGGAAGAAAAGTGGGGAAGCCAGGTGTTTTCAGGTAGACGTTGGGATAATTGTCCAGCCCTCCCTTGGTGGGGTTCACGATTTCGATAGTGCAGTGGATTCCAACTAAATTCTTATTGGGATGCAATTTAAATCTAATTGGGGTGTAAAGGATCCCAGGTTCAGCTGATTACAAAGTGCTTCATGTTGGAACCGAATCGAACATGTGAGAAATTGGGCAGATCCCAGATTCAGGGGAGTCGTATTGGCTTCCTACTGGGATCTAGTTAGAATCGAATTGGAATTGGGCAGGTCCCAGGCCCAGCTGATTAGAAGATGGGCCTGATTAGCAGCTGCAATCCTGTTAATCAGCTGAGGAACAACTGATTAACAACTGCATTCCTGTTAGACTCTGAATGACACGGGGCAGATGCCAGATCCAGCCGGTTCTAATTTTGATTCCTACTGGGAATTTAGCCAGAATCGGATTGGAATTGGGCACGTCCCAAATCCAGATGCGTCCACATGTATTTCGAACATGATCGGAACTGAGCAGGTCACAGATCCAGCTGGTTCCAAATATTTTCCTGTTGTAATCGGATTAGAACCTTAATTCGTTGAATGGGGAAGATCCCAGGTCCAGCGGATTTCAAGGTACCTGTGGGCATCTTGCGAGTCTGTGCTCAAGGCTCTTCGGTCCCGTGGACATCTGCCAGCAAAAACGACGTATACTGGTCGTAAATCCACAAACGCTATGCGTATCGTTGAATGTTCGACGAGAAAAGCACTTTGGGGTTCATCAACTTCGCAGTCGATCCTCAAAATCGAGCTCTCAAAATCGAGCTCTCTCCTCCTCCTCCTCCTCCTCCTCCTCCTCCTCCTCCCTCCCTACTCCACCCCCCCTCCCTCCGTCCCTCAACTCCCTCCTCCCTCTCGTCCTCCTCCCTCCCTCCCCTCCCTCCCTCCTCCTCCCCTCCCTCCCTAACTCCCTCCTACCCTCCACTCCTCCTCATTCTTACTCCTCCTCCTCCTCCTCCTCCTCCTCCTCCTCCCCTCCTCCTCCTCCTCCTCCTCCTCCTTCTCCTCCTCCTCGGGGATCTCCCTGGATGCCCAGTTTTGTTTTGGGCCTCTGGGGGGGCTCCTGGGGTCCAAAGCTGGGGGGCAAGACTCGAGATGTCGGTGTTGGGGTTGCTGTTCCTCCTCGTGGTGCCTTCTTGGCTGCCTCGGGAGCCCTCTTGGAGACCATCTTGGGCCGCCTTGGGCGGTTTGGGGCTCCGCTGGGAGGCCTCTCAGACAATCTTGGAGCAACATTGGGACCCTGTTGGCCCGTTGTAGCAAGCCAAGTGCTCGAAAACAGTAGGCGAAAAGCGCAAAAAAAAACCCAACTATTATGACTGGTTTGTCCCTCTCGGGGGCTTCTTAGGCTGTTTTTCCGAGGCCAGTGGCGCCCAAGACGGCGCCCAAACACTCCAGGACCCCCCCAGACGATCCCAGAAGCCTCGGACATGGGCCTGGAGCGTTCCAGGACGGCCCAAGATGGCTTCAAGACAGCCACAGAGGCCTTCACGACGCCTCAAGGCGCTCCCGAAGGTCTCCCATTGAGGGCCCTCCCGCTCGCCCGCCCCCTCCCCTTCTGTTGCATCTTTGGGGGACCTCGCCTGTCCAATCGCGCCAACCACCCGTGACGCATCCATGTAGACCATTTTCGAACGGTCGTCTCCGTCTCCAATCCGTGTCGACTCGGGGTCGAATTCACGTCGAGTCCGCATCGAGCACGCCTCGTGAACAAGAGAAGGCACGAATCCAGGGGACAAACGCAGCCCCCCGAAGAGGCAACGCAGCCGCCCCTCCCCTGACTCCAGATCCGCCGTACACTTTGTGTGAGTTCGCAAGTATGGCGGAAAGGTGCCTGCGCTACTTTTCAAGCTCCTCTGATGTCAATATCCGCCCTGCGTTGCCGTCGCTATTTCCGCCGTGAGTTTGCGAAGCTCCGCCGCTTTGCCGTCGCTGCTCTGAAGCGGAAATGTCCGCCCTGCTTCTTCCCATCGTCTCCGACACAACTGCACATGCGAACATCAACCGGGGCACGGCGGATCCGCAGCCAGTGATGGGCCGGCCACTTTTCCACCACCACCTCCATTTGTAGGACGGGGGGGAGGCAGGACGGGGAGATCCTCCTCCTACTCCTCCCACCTCGACCCTCCTCCTCCTCCTCCTCTTCCTCCTCCTCCTCCTCCTGCCTGTGGCAGATGGTGGCGGAACGCCGGGCCAGCAGCCCGGGCCGCTCCCCCCGAGGCCTCGTCGGGCGGGCGCGGTGCAGCGCCGTCCTGGGGCCGTCGCGCGAGGGGCCCCCCCCCTTCCGCTCCCCCCCCCAGGGCCGCCCGCCGCTTGGCGGCGAGCGAGGGAGGAGGAGGAGGAGAAGGAGGAGGAGGAGGAGGAGGAGGAGGAGCAGGAGGAGCAGGAGGAGCAGGAGGAGGGGGAGGGGGAGGGGGAGGAGGAGGAGGAGGAGAGGAGGAAGGCGGAGGAGGGGAGGAGGAAGGAGGAGGGGAGAGCAGCGAGGAGTGGTTGGAGGGAGGAGGGGAGGAGAGAGGAAGGAGGAGGAGGAGGAGGAGGAGATGAGTCGAGAGGCCCTGCGGTGCCGCGGCTCGAGAACATCGAGGCGATGGACGTCCGGGCCCGCCCTCCCACGGCAGCTTCTTGGCCACCTCTTCCTCGGTCAGACCCGCGATCATACGCCGATCCTCATGAAGATTCCGTGGTGACGCGATTTTGCATCGCGCCTCCTCTCCCCTCCCCGCCACCTGCCCTCCAACGCCCACCTCGCCGCCCCGCGGGCTCGCGAGGGGATGCGCAGGCTTTCTCGCAGAGCGTCGCTGGCCTCTATCCCGGCCCTCCTCCTCCTCCTCCTCCTCCTCCTCCTCCTCCTCCTCCTCCTCCTCCTCCCTAAAATCCGCCGCCGCCACCGCCGCCTGCTCCCCTCTCCTCCTGCCTACTACCACCTGCACCTCCTCCTCCTCCTCATTCCCATCCTCCTCCTCCTCCTCCTCCCCTACCTCCTCCTCCGCCCTCCCCTCCTCCTCATCCTCCACCTCCTCCTCCTCCTCCTCTTCCTACCATCCTCCTCCTCCTCCTCCTCCTCCTGCTCCACCGCGCTCCCTCCTCTCCCAGGCTCTCCCCTCGCCGCCCCTCGCCTCCCCTCGCCCGCCCCCCTTCGAGAGGATGCCCAAGTGTTCTCATTGAGCGCCGCTGGCTTCTTCCGGGCCGCCTCGCCGCCACGGGCTGGGCAGGACGCGGCCCCGGGCCGGGATCCCAGACGCCAAGCGTCCCCGCCACGCCGTCACCCCCCCCAGTTTTTCCATCCCTTGCCCCTTCCCCCCCCTCCTCCTTCTCCTCTCTTCTTTCCCCTCCCCGCTCCCCGCTCCCCGCTCCCCGCTCGCCGTCGTCTTCGTCGCCCTCCTGCTCTTCCTCCTCCTCCTCCTCCTCCTCCTCCTCCTCCTCCTCCTCCTCCTCGAGGCCCCCAAGAGCTCCACAGGGGCTTTCGGGGCGCCCCGACGAGGCTCCACGAAGCCTCCGACGGGCCTCTCGGACTCCCCCCAGAAGCCTCACGATGCCCTCGGGAAGCCTTCCGGATGCCCCCGCTAGCTCCCCCCCAGGACCCTCAGAGACATACCATTAGACTTGAATATGCATTCAAAGAGGCTTCTGACCCGTAGCCCAGGTACGTAGCGCGTTGGGCCACGGTCAGCACACGAAACCCAGAATCGTTGCGAGCGCTAGCTCTTTGATCGTGCTGGCCTCTTTCATCCTCCTCCTCCTACTCATCCTCCTCCTCCTGATCCTCATCCTCATCCTCAGCCTAATCCTCGTCCTCATCCTCATCCTCATCCTCATTATCATCCTCACCATCATCCTCATCATCGTCGTCATCATCAGCATCATCATCATCATCATCATCATCATCATCATCATCATCATCATCATCATCATCATCATCATCATCATCATCATCATCATCATCAGCATCATCATCGTCATTATCATCATCACCACCATCATCACTATCATCATCATAATCATCAGCCTCATCTTCATCAGCATCATCAGCATCAGCATCAGCATCAACATCATCACCAGCACCATCAACATCGTCATCGTCATCATCATCATCATCATCATCATCATCATCATCATCATCATCATCATCATCATCATCATCAGCGTCATCATCATCAGCATCATAAGTATCATCATGATCACCATCATCTCATCATTATCAACATCATTATCATAATCATGAGCATGGCCGTGATCATGATCAGCATCATCAACATCGTCATCATCGACAGCACTACCATCATCAGCATCATCATTAGCAGCATCATCCGACTCATCATCATCCTCAGCATCATCAATATCGCCATCATTAGCATCATCATTAGCATCACCATCAGCATCATCATCACCAGCATCATCATCATAATCAGCATCATCGTAATCATCATCATCATCAGCATCATCATCATCAGCATCATCCTCATCATCACTATCAGTATCATATTCATCAGCATCATGGTCGTCAACAGCAGCAGCATCAGCATCAGCAGCAGCATCAGCACCAGCATCAGCAGCACCTTCAGCATCAGCATCAGCATCATCACCATCATTGATAATATAGTAGCATCGTCATCATCAGCATCAGCATCATCGTCATTATCATCAGCAGCATCATGAGCGACAGCATCACCAGCATCAGCATGAGCACGAGCATCAGCAACTCATCCTCATCACCATCATCATCAGCATCATCAGCAGCAACACCTGCATCAGCATCAGTATCATCAACATCATCATCATCAACATCATCATCCGCATCCGCATCCGCATCAGCATCAGGATCAGGATTAGTATCATCATCATCATCATCATCATCATCATCATCATCATCATCATCATCATGAACATCATCATCATCATCATCATCATCATCATCAGCAGGTTGAGCATCAGTCATCAGCATCGTCATCATTATCAACATTTACATCAACATCCTGCTTTCCCTACCATGAACTACTCGAGACGCCCGTGAGGCCCCCGACAGTGCACACGAAGCCACCATAGTCTCAGTCGTGGACTTCCCGTCTTCTCTGGGGGATCGGCGGCATGGCGTGAGCCCCTTTGAAGGGGCCCCAGGACACACAAATAAATACACACAAATAAAAGTATTCCCCATATTTTCCCATATGTTTTGAATGTTTGTCTTCCCCCCCCACTTCCCATAGTTTCCCATATTTTCCTAGGAGTGGACGATTAATTGTGTCTGTGTTTTTTTCCCCTCATGACTCTTGAATCCAAGGCGGGAACGGCCTTCCCGGATCAAGCGGGCGCGGGCCCGCGGAGACAACAGCATTCGCGATCGTGTCTTCAACCGGCGCCCGGCGAGAGCAGCAATCCGCATCGAGACCGCGGCCCGCGCTGAGGCGAGAACCATCATCATCATCATCATCATCATCATCATCATCATCATCATCATCATCATCATCATCATCATCATCAGCATCAGCATCAGCATAGGCATCAGCATCAGCATCAGCATCAGCATCAGCATCAGCATCATCATCCTCATCCTCATCCTCATCCTCATCCTCATCCTCATCCTCATCCTCATCCTCATCCTCATCCTCATCCTCATCCTCATCATCCTCATCCTCATCCTCATCCTCATCCTCATCCTCATCAATCATCATCATCATCATCATCATCATCATCATCAATCATCAATCATCATCATCATCATCATCATCATCATCACATCATCATCATCACAATCATCATCATCATCATATCATCATCATCATCATCACATCATCATCATTCATCATCATCATCTTCATCATCCTCATCTCATCCTCATCCTCATCCTCATCATCCTCATCCTCATCCTCATCCTCATCCTCATCCTCCTCCTCATCATCATCATCATTGTAATCATGCGCGCGGCCAGGGCCGAGGCGAAAGCGCATGTTTCAATCAGAGTTGTGGCCAGCGCCATAGCGAGAACGACCTGCTCAGTGAAGGATGTGGATGGCGCCCTGGCGACAGCATTATTTGTCACCAGAGATGTGGCCAGCGCCAAGGCGACAACGACACGCTCAATGAAGGTTGTCGCCAGCGCCTAGGCGACAGCAACATTGTCAATCACACCTGTGGCCCACGCAAAGGCAAGAATGACATGCTCAATGAAGAATGTCGCCAGCGCCTGAGCAACAAAAAACACTCTCAATCGGAGATGTGACTCGCGCCAAGGCGAAAACGACATGCTCACAGAAGGATGTCACCAGCGCCTAGGAGACAGCAACACTGTCAATCACACCCCACGCACAGGCGAGAACGACATGCTCAATGATGAATGTCGCCGGCGCCTAGGCAAAAGCAGCACTCTCGATCGGAGATGTGGCTGGCGCCAGGGCGAGAACGACGTGCTTAATGAAGGATATAGTCAGCGCCTGGGCAACAGCACCACCTTCAATCAGAGATGTGGCCGGCGCCACGGCGAGAACGACATGCTCAACGAAAGATGCCGCTGGCGCCAAGGCCACAGCAACATTTTTCAACAGAGATGTGGCCAGCGCCACGGCGAGAACGACACCCTCAATGAAGGATGTGGATGGCGCCTAGGCGAAAGCAACGTGACAGCAACGTCGTCAACCAGAAATGCGGCCCACGCACAGGCGAGAACGACATGCTCAACGAAGGATGCCTCTTGCGACTAGGCGACAGCAACACTTCCAATCGGAGATGTGGCCCACGCGCAGGCCGCAGCATCATTCAGAGACAAGCGTGTCACCAGAATGTAGGTGTCACGCCAATTACGCGCGGGCCGGGCTCGGTGTCACCGAGGTCCGGGCGACGTCAGGTGGGTCATCCACGTTGGGGGGGTATTAAGTACGTTAGGAGTTGGAAACACCTGCGGCTCCCGTACTAAGAGGTATTCTGCGGTGCGAGTGGCATCTAGAAAGTACTTGCACCAGCCGCAACATCGTCATGAGGCATGATGCTCATCGACCACACGGGGCTCAATTTTCGTTGGCCTGTCAACTGCCACGGGAGATCAACAAAGCAGAACAGTGTCAGAACGAACGAGATTACTTGGTCGTCACAGTCTCCACCGACACATTGGTCGGAGGAAAACATCGCTGTGATGAGATAGCGATCAGGACCTCAAGCGGACAGCGTGATTGGTACAAGGCGGTGAGGAACCAGAAGTACGCCCGCGAGCTCCATGCCTGGACGACCACGCTGACGATCGCAAGATGCGGGCGATCCTGCTGGCTACTGTCAGTCGAACCCGAACGAGCAAGCCAACGGCAGAACGATCGGTCACACACTCGAAATGGACACAGATGACGACCTCTGCGAGAACTCAGGCGACTTCTGCGACAACGGGCAGTATCAAGGGGCCCCAGGACAAACAAACAAATACACACAAATAAACATATTCCCTATATTTTCCCATATGTTCGGGGTTTCTGTCTTCCCCCCACTTCCCATATTTTCCCATATGTTCTGGGGAATCGAGGATGAATTGTGTCTCTGTTTTTGTTCCTCTCCTGACAGTAGTCCTACGACACGCAACACGTGCGGACCCGAGGGCAGGCGCTCGGTCCTCGATCTGCCTCCGCAGGCCCTCCTCCTGGGAGCACGGGGGGCGAGGAGCGCACGCCGCAGCCGACGCGGCAGCGGCAGCGGCAGCGGCAGCGGCAGCAGCCAGTGGTGGAAGGGACCGGGCCTCAACCCCACCAGCCTCTGGACGTAGACATCTCCGACAACTTCCTTGTGCGCACTCGGGGGCGGGGGTGCTACGGCTCCTGATTCGTGACGCATCCCTTCCGACGCTCGGCCGGCCGCGAACCGGGAACGACGCGGCCTGCCGCCCCACCGCCCTTGTCTATACACAGTACGAGGCGCACGTGGCGGCAAAGTCTGAATCGTGAGCGGGCCCACTGCTAGCACTTTGCATTGGATTTGAACAGGGATGGCGGGGGTCGTTATATGTTATATTTGTCCGGTGTTCGCTGTTCTGAGGGGCAACGATGGGGGGGACTGGCAAGGGGGGGGATGCATCGACTTGAAATTGGCGATACATCGCCGATAAATCGGCGATAGGCCTCCGATAGTGAATCCGCACATTCCTGGGCAGATTGGGGCTATCGGGCCAAAATCGGCGATCAGTGGGCGATTGGGGGTCGATGCGTACCCCCTTATGCCAATCCCCCCCTATCGTTGCCCCTGATTTCCCACTAGCCGTATCAAGGCCAGCGCAAACTGATCGCTGGTGCACACACGCTTACGCACAAGTGCTTGGGCGCCGCGGCCACGCGCGCAGCGGCGCAGCCGAGCCCAGGTCGGGCAGAGAATCTGCGCGCGGGCCAGCATCACTCGCGAGGGGACAGTCGCGAGGGGGGAACGTGAAGGAGGGGAGCACGGAGACGACCAGGGGGGCGGGGAGACGGAGCGTGCGGGGTGCAACGGGGCAGACGTGCGAAAGAAAAGGCAGGTGGACCAGTGGCAGACCAGAGTCAGCAAACGAAGCGCAGTGACGAACGAGCTGTCACCCACCCACACACACAGCCTCCCAGAAACACACACAGCATCACACACAAACACACACACACACACTTTTTGCGGCGGCGGCTGGGCAGAAGGTGACTGCTCCGGCCATTGGGCATCAGTTGGGCACGCTAGATACAAATTGGGCCGCAGTGCACGAGAGCAAGATGCTGGTGTGTCTGTATGTATGCATGCTGTGTGCATGTGTGAGTATGTGTGTCTGTAAGAGGCTGCGTGTATGTGCCTATGTATGTGTGTCTGTACGAATGCACGCACACACACACACACACACACACACAGCATCACACAAACACACACACACACATCGTAAAATACATCAAACTGACCACCCCGCCACCACTTGGCGCTGGCGTCCGACTGGGACGGCGCGGGGGGCGACGAGCTGCCCGATGCGTGCTGCCACGCGCGCTGACGCCCCCGCCGCCGCCCGCACTCTGCGCGCGTCGCGCGCGGCGCACCCGTCGCGGCTGGCGCACGCGGCTTGGCGCGCGTGGCGCCCCAGGCGCGCCCGGCACGGTGGGGCCCCGGGCCACCTACAGCAGGGGCTCGCTCACCAGACCCCGGGACGTCCACTGACTTTGGGGGTGGGCACGTCACGCTGCCCAGGGCAGAACCGGGCCCAAGCAACCCAGGGCAGCCTGGAGGCGACAATAAGGGCGAATAGCCCAGGGGCGGGCATAACACGTATTCGCCCGGGAGCCTTGTCGAAGACATAGATCATCGGCGCCCCTGGATACATGTATTGCCCCCCCCTGGGCTATTCGTCCCTATCGTCGCCTCCGAGGGCAGCCTGGAGGCAAGCAGGGCGTGTCTTGGCATGGACCCCCACCGCAGTGCACCTGGAGCGCGCGACGCACCCGGCACGCGTGGCGCACCCCCCGAGCGCTGCGCACCTGGCGTCCGCACTGGTTCCCGACGGCTGCCCGTCCGCTGGCGCCCTCTGCGCATGCCGAGTCTCGGGTGCTCCTCCTCCTCCTCCTCCTCCTCCTCGTCCTCCTCGTCGTCCTCCTCGTCGTCTTCCTCCTCCTCCTCGTCTCCTCCTCGTGGTCCTCGTCTTCCTCACCCTCCTCCTCCTCCTCCTCCTACTTCTCCTCCGCCTTCTCCTCCTCCTCCTCCCTCCTCCCTCCTCCCTCCTCCCGCCTCCTCCTGCCTCCTCCCTCCGTCCTCCGTCCTCCGTCCTCCCTCCCCCTCCTCCTCCTCCTCCTCCTCCCTCCTCCACCCCTCCTGCTCCTCCTCCTCCTCCTCCTCCTCCTCCCCTCCTCCTCCTCCTCCTCCTCCTCCTCCTCCTCCTCCTCCTCCTCCTCCTCCTCCTCCTCCCTCCCTCCCTTCCTACCTCCCTCCCCTCTCTCCCTCCTCGTCGTCCCTCCTCCTCCTCCCCCTCCTCCTCTCCTCCTCGTCGTCGTCATCCTTCTTCTCCTCCACCTCCTCCTCCGCCTCGTCCTCCTCCTCCTCCTCCTCCTCCTCCTCCGCCTCCTCCTCCTCTTTCTCCTCCTCCTCCTCCGCCTCCTCCTCCTCCTCCTGCCTGCACTGGTTGGGGTGTCGGGGGGGGGGGGGAGTGAAGGAGATTCGCTCGCGATAGGTCTCTGAGGCCTCAGGATGGCCCCCAGATCGCCCACGTAGGCCGCGAGAGAGGCCCAGAGGAGCCCCCTGGGCGATTTCACCGCTCCGGAGAAAGCACGCTCGAGACCCCCCGCCCGGGCGACTCGAGCGCACTCTCACCGACAGACACCGCCCCCGGGCGAGTCGGCTTGTCCCGGCACGCCCCTGGGCGAGCCGGGACCCCCCCACTTCCCCCTTGTGGCGAGTGGGAGCTCCTGCTCCAAGAAGGCCCCAAGCCCAGCAGCGTCTGGGGAGGGCTCCATGAGGCGGTAGTTCGGGCTCCCGCGGGGCAGCGATAGTCCGCGCAGTCATTGGTATGCTCAATGGCCTCCAGAATGGCCACACGAAGGCCCGAACGGCCCCAAACAGGGCTTCACGCGGGCATCAACATGTCTCCAAGAGAACTTCAACATGTCTCCAAGAGGACTCTATGCGGTCTCTAAGTTCACTATTGCCGGACTCTCTCTTTCACGAGATGCGTATCTCTGTCCCTTCTCATGGCAGCTCGCCTGGTTATCGTTCCTGGATGAGCTGGTGGAGATACTTTCTTGGTCGCGGGCGGACGCGGATTCGCAGTCGCCGAGCTGAGAGGTCCGGGCCACGGGCCTGTCAAATTAGCAACGCGCAAGCCTACAAGCACAGGCTGGTGGGGGATACACGGCGCGTCAAGAATGCGGCTCTCGTCGTCGCGCCACGCCACGCGCACTCGCCTGACGAGATTGCAACAGCTTCGAAGATGGAGGACAGGTGGCTCTTATGTTCGAGATGTGGCCCTCGCGGTGGCGCCGTGCAGATTCGTCTACAACAGCTTCAAGGATGGATGGCGGCTCCTTTTCAACAGGTGGTTCTCGCTTCAGCGCCGCTCACATCCGTCATGTAAAAGATTGCTCTATGTTCAAAGGGGCTTATGCGAAGGCCCAGGAATTAGGTTCTGACACGGCCCAGGGCTGTCAGGACGCAACACTTACACTGCCTCGGGGTGTTGAACGATTGAAACCTGTCAAAAAGCATCCATCACGTTTCTCCACGGCACTGAAGTCACAAGAATGGTGCTCTGGCGCGCTTGAAGATTCTCCTACAGCTGTCTTCTGATGGACTGCTCTCCGCATTGAAACTGTATCGATGCAGGGACATGCGAAGAGGGAACTTGGAGGGATGGTGTATTGCAACATCGTTGATGCGTCCTGGAGTTGCAGTGGTCCTTCTCACCCTGGTCATCCTCCCCCTCATCATCCTCCTCCTGTTCCTCCTACCCACCTCAACTGCATCCCTCCTCCTCCTCATCCTCCTCGTCCTCCTTCTCCTCCTCATCAGCATCATCATCAGCATCATCATCAGCATCATCAACATCAGCATCATCATCATCCTCATCGTCCTGATCCTTCCTTTCATCTTCCCTCCTCTCCCTCCCTCCTGCCTCTCCTTCCCATCCCTCCCTCCTCCTCCTCCTCCTCCTTCTACATCCCTCTTTCCTGTCGCTCCACCCGACATGTCGTAAAGGCGGGCCGGGCCTTGTGCCTGAGACTCCCGCACCACTTCTGATCCTGAAGCTTGAAGTTTGCAACAGCTACACGGTTGGAGGGTGGCCTTTTTCTTCTAAATGTGGATATCGCATTAGCGCCGCGCACATTCGTCCTACGAGTTTGCAACAGGTTCCACGGACGGATGCAGGGCGCTTGCTTGTCCAAACTGTGGCTCTCGCCTTGGCGCCGAGCGCTCTTCTAACAAGTTTGCGACAGCTTCAAGGATGGAGGGTGGCCCTTTTTCACAATGTGGCTCTCGCCTCAACGTCGCGCACATTCGTCCTGAACGTTTGCAAACAAATGAAGATCCGCATGGTTGAAGTCCCCAGAGTTGTCTTCTGGCAAGATTTACGACCGAATGTCAGGACGCAATAGTCACGTTGACTCACTGTGTTGAAGTCCCAGGAACCGCGTTCTGGTGCGATGTAGGATTGTCGGGGCGCAAAAATCAAGTTGATTCGCAGCGCTGAAGTCCAAATCCGCCGATCCGGCGTGTGAGTTTCAACGAGTCTCAGCTACAGCCTCGAGGCTGAGCCTCAGCCTCTGGGGGGGTTGCCGGGGTGGCTCTGCCGGGGAAGGGGGGATGGGGGGGGGGGGGTGCGAGTTTCCGGCGGATGCGGGGCGCTGCTTTTACAGAAGGCTCTAATCTCGAGGATGCGCTGGAAGGGTGGCCGCGGCCGCAAAAGTCGCTGAGGACGGTCTACGAAAGTCCCGAGACCCCGAAGGATCGCCCGAACACGCCCAAGATGGCCCCAAGACGGCCCAAGAGCCTTCCACGACGTCTGAAGAGGCCTCCAAGAGGCCTCCCACGATGGCCCCCAGAGGCAAAAATCGTTGATTCCCATTGGTTTTTCAATGTTTTTGGGGTTGTCGCTTTTTTCGGCTTTCCGACGCTCCAAGACGGCCCAAGAGGCCCCCAAGACCGCTCGAAGACGGCCCAGGAGGCCCCCAGACAGTCCCAAGACGGCCCAAGAGGGCCCCAAGGCGGCCCAAGAGCCGCCAAAGACGGCCCAACAGGCCCCCAAGACGGCCCCAAGAGGACCCAAAAGAGGGACGAAAAGCTGAAAAAATCTAGCCTTCCAGCCCACGAGGCCCCCAGGAGGCCCCAAGAGCCTCCAAGAGGGCCTCCGAAAGCCCCCAAGAAGCCCCCACGACGCCCTGACAGGCTCCTAAGATGGCTCAAAAAACGCCCCAAGAGGGCGTCCTTGCGCCGATAGGCTCGCCTCCACCGCTCGCACCACATCGTCCAGGCCACATGTTTCGTAACACGACTCCGTGCACGACGTATCGTGAGTTTCCAAAGTGATCGGCATCCTGTATGGAATTTTCATGTCATTATTATTTCCCGTCCCCACGGTCACTGCAAGCACCCCGCCGTTGATAGAACCACTGTTGCGAGATGGCTCTATTGACCCAACTGCATTCCTACGCCCTTTCGAAGGTAACCCGAGAAGTTTGTGCGTTTGAGTGTGCACCCATAATGTCTGCGTCTGGAGAATAGCACCGAGCGACCCGGATCGGCGGCACTGGCCGAAGGCCACTACAATAATAGTGTTCTGACAGGATGTAAGATTACCCGACGGTTGTCTTCCAACGGGGCACTTCCCGCAATGGCAATAAACTCTTGCAGAATCGTGTGCAGAGACAATTTGGAGGGAGGGTTGATTTCAACATCGTTGATGCGTCGTGGGCTCACACTGGTTCTCCTCCAGCTCATCTCCCTGGTCTTCCGCATCCGCATCCCCCTCCTCCTCCTCCTCCTCCTCCTTCTCCTCCTCCTCTGCCTGCTCCTCCGCCTCCGCCAGCGCCTTCGCCCCATGCTCCTCCTACTCTTCTTCCTCCTACTCCTCCTCCTGGTTCCTGGTGGCTGGGACGAATCCTCCTCCTCCTCCTCCTCCTCCTTTTCCTCCTCCTTCTCTCGCTTATCCCCATCCTCCACCACCACAACCACCACCACCTCCACCTCCATCTCCACCTCCATTTCCTCCTCCTCCTCCTCCTCCTCCTCTCCTCCTCCCCGCCTCCCTCCTCCTCCCTCCTCCTCCTCCTCCTCCTCCTCCTCCTCCTCCCTCCTCCTCCTCCTCCTCCACCCCCTCCCTCCTCCTCCTCCTCCTCTTCCTCCTCCTCCTCCCTCCTCCTCCACCCCCTCCTCCTCATGCTCCTCCTCCTCCTCCTCCTCCTCCTCCTCCTCCTCCTCCTCCTCTTCTCCCTCCTTCTCCAGCCCCGTAACGAGCCAGCGCGCTGGACGTCCGTCGGCGGCGGGCGGGCCATGGCCTCGTCGCCGGCGGGCGAGGACGGGGCGCCGCCGTGCAGCGTGCGCTGCGGCGGGGCGGGGCGGGGCGGCTGCGGCTGCGGCAGCGGCAGCGGCAGCCTCGGGCGCGGCGTGCGCTGCGGCTGCGGCGGCGGCGGCGGCAGCGTCGGAGCGGGCTGGCGGCGGCCACGGTGGAGGGGGGGGGGATCGAGGCTCGGGCTTCGAGGGTGGAGGTGCCACTTTTGCCTGTGCTGCCCGCTCCGGGGCTCCGGGAGGCCTCTCGTCGCCACGGCTGGGTCCGCCTCGAAGTGCTAGTCGGAACGCGCAGCGGGATGGGTACAGGGGACGATTTTCTCGTTGCGAGCCGCATGAACAAACGAACGACGACCAGGGCTGACAGGAGGAGGAGGATGACTGGGAGGGACGGGTCCTGTCCTGGATGTCGGAGTCGGCGAGGTGTGCGAGGATGAACGAGTAGAATTGTCCCAGTGGAGCACAGCCCCATCATGTGTTACCACGCCTCAGCCACCACAGTGAAAGGCTTGGCCCTGGCACCGCAAATGGCCCCCACACACGACAGCGCTAAGCAAGCCTGATGCCCGCGGTTCCTCTCGAAGCGCGCCGCCGAGGATGTGTGCAACAGGAGCGAAGAGCAAAACGGAGGGGGGGCGCGGGTTGGAAACAAGAGAGGCCACGACGCTGTGGGCGGGAGCCAGATGGCCCAGCCGGCCATTCGTATAACCCACACAACGGCAACCAGGAGGAGGAGGAGGAGGAGGAGGAGGAGGAGGAGGAGGAGCGAAGAGAGAGACGAGGAAGAGGGAGGAACGAGCAGAGGGAAGAGGAACGAGTAGGAGGAAGAGAAGGAACGAGTAGGAGGAAGGGGAGGAGGACGAACGAAGATAAGGAAAACGAGAACGGTGACGGCTGACGGCTTCTGGCCTCGGCAGATCAAAACCGCACGATGACCCGGCCCAGCCCTTCTCTCTCCACCTCCCCCCATCTCCTCCCTTTCCCTTCCTTCCCCTCGCCTCCCCTCCCCTCCCCTCCCTTCCCTTCCCCTCCCCTCCCTCCTCCCTCACCTCTCCCGCAAATCTGTCCTGACCCCTCCCCGAACCCATTCCTCCCTCCGCCCCCCACCGCCTTCACTTCCGCCCACTTCCACCTTGCCTTCTCTCTCCTGCTCTCGTATTCTCTGCTTCCCTCCTCTAGTCCCCCGTCTACAACTACTTTATATGCATACTACTCTCCTCTGAGCCTGAATATGTCCGGAAAAAGTCTGGCGCTCTTCGCGTGCTGCTCTTCCACAAACGAGATAACATTATTATGTCTGTTGTTCGATGGTGTTTGTTACAACCCGATTTTTCCGCTGCTCAAAACAGCGCTCTCGCTGCAGCGTGGGCCTCGTTTTCGGATCGGCGAGTTGCTCCCGTCGCCCCCGCGTGGACCAGTTCTCTGGATCCAAGCGTCGCAGGTCTCGCAGGTCTCGCAGGTCCCACGGGTCCGACCGGTCCCGCAAACCCCATGAGTCCCACTCGCAGATCTCACAGGTCCCACACAAAGGGCCCCGCGGGTCTCGGAGGTCTCGCAGGCCCCACAGTTCCCACGGGTCCCGCATGTGTGTCGCAGGCCCCACATCTCGCGCAGGCCACATAGGTCCCCCAGGTCCCACGTGTCCCATATGCCCCACGAGTCCCACGAGTCCCACAGGCCCCACAAACAGCTAACAGGTTCCACTGGTCCCACATCTCGCACAGATCCCACAGTTCCCACTTGCCCCAGAGGTCCCACAGGTCAGGCCATGATTTTTGTTCCGTCGCAGTGCGGCAGAGGCAATCCGCACGCGCGTCCGAGAGAAACCGAGGCGCGGAGTCGCGAACGAGCCCGCATGCGCGAGAGGGGAAGGCGGGGAGGCGGCGGCCGCAGGGAGAGGAGAGGGCGCGGGGGCGCACTCACGCGGCGAGGCTGCGGCTTGCGCGTGGGCGCGGCCTGGCTGAGGGGCCAACCTGGCAGCACCTGCGGGTCGGCGTCGCAGAGCGCCCAAGGAGGAGGGCCAGCAGCAACAGTGCGGGCGAGGCCCAGCACATCGGAGAGTGGGAGCGACAGGCGGCTGAAAACCAGGCCGCCAGCGGGGGGGGAAGGCAGTGGCGTGGGGTCGGCGGGCAGGAGGTGCGCAAGCGCTGCAGCAGCTGCGGGGGGCCCAAGGCGATGCATGGCGCGGCGGCCCCGAGGCAGAAGCGGGCGGGAGTGGCCCTCCCCTCTTCCCTCCTCTGCCCTCTTTTCCCGGCCCCCCTCCTCCCCCTCCCCCCCTCCCCTCCTCCCTCTCCGCCCGGAAGAGCGCCAAGACCTCAGAGCCGGCGAGGCGGACGCGCCGGCGCCGCCTCCGGGTCGTCGCCTTCTCGCGCCGCCTGGGGCGAGGCTGGCCCCACCTGGGGGGGCGGCAGGCCTCCGTCGTTGTCGTCGTCACCGCCTTCGCCTCTTCACCCCGTCGCAGCCTCTGCTGCTGCTGCTGCTGCTGCTGCTGCTGCTGCTGCTGCTGCTGCTGCTGCTGCTGCTGACGGGCACGCTTCCCCGTCCACCTGGCGCTGGCCAGGTCGGGGTGGGGGTTAAGGCATCGGTCATCTGACGAACTTGCCCGCATCTATTTCGCTATTCTGTGGGGAGGAATGGAGGAGGCTGCAGAGGATAGACGCGCGTGGGAGGGAAGGGGAGAAGAGTAAGGCAGGGAGAAGAGGAGGGAGGGAGGATGGAGGAGTGAGGGGACACTTGACATCTTTGTACAACTCCAGGTTATCCTCCAATCCGCCACGGTGCCTTCACCACTTAGCGCAGTGCCCCAAAACTCACAAATGAGCAAGTGGGACCAGTAACGCTGTAAGATTCTGGAAAACCCTGACCACCGACTTCCCGGAATGCACTGCCTCTGCACCGCCTCCCCCGTCCCCAGTAGGCTTCCAAGCATCGCTCAAAGAAGCAGAGTGAAACCCTCCGCCGCCTCAAGGGACCATCCCAGGACTCGTCTGAGCACCTCTTGGGCCGTCTTGGAGGCCTTGGAGCAGCACCAAGAAAATGGCCGGAATCACTGAATCACATTGGAAAAACCGTAGGTTCCATGATTTGAGCCTTTTTGCATTTTTGGCCAGATCGCCCAAAAAGGCCCAAACGGCCCCCAATATCCCCCCGGGACGGCTTCCGGCTTCCGCCCCAAGACGCGGCAAACATCTCGAGCCCTCCACCCCAAAAAGATCACCGAGACCGTTTCCAGGTCCCAAAGATGCTCCCAAAGAGGCCTCCAAAAGACCACAAGAAGCCTCTATAACCCTGGGAAGCAAACAGTAAACCCCCCGGCGATATCGTTAGCACAGAAAATAAAATAAATAATTATTTTGGGCGGCGCCCTCCGGCGATATCGTTAGCACAAAAAATAAATAAATAAGAAAAATATGTTGCCCCCCCCCGGGCCCGAAGCTGGCGGCAACGTGAGGCGACAGCCTGAAAAACCAATGCGCACGAACGCTTGCCAATGTGTTCCCGCCTTGCTAGAACACTGGGAAACTGACGCGCATCGGAAATCAAAGGTATATAAAAAATGACAAACAATGAAATCACCGCAAGCAGCTATATTTGAAAGGACCCCCCAAAGGAATCCCAGAGGAATCTCAGAAGGAAGCCCACGCAGAATCTCAAAGGAACCCTATTGGAAATTCAAAGTAATCTCAAAGGAACCCCATAGAAATCGCAAAAAGGAATCTCAGCGGCAGCTCAAACGAATCACGAAGGAATCTAAGGAATCTGGAAAACGCGGGCTCGCGTGGACATAAGCAATCCCTATTGCGACCGCACTAGGGAAATTGATTCTTTCAGGGGATCCTATGGGAGAGTCCACGGGGGGATATCGCAGACGGATCCCGCGAACCCCCCCGCGATATGTTAGCACATTTATTGAAAATAAAATAATCCACAGGCACCGGAGATCGATGTGATGCTCCCTTCAAGGATTGTCGAAGGAATGTCAGAGGAACTTAAAAAAGACCCCCAAAGGAATCCAATAAGAATATCACAAGGAATCCCACGCATAATATCAAAGGAACCTGGAAGTTCAAAGTCATCTCGAAGGAGCCCAACAGCAATCGCGAAGGCATCTCAGCGGCAGCTCAAACGAATCAGGAAGGAATCTAAGGAATTTGGAAAACGCGGGCTCGACTGGACATAAGTAATCCCTATTGCGACCGCACTAGGGAAATTGATTCTTTCAGGGGATCCTATGGGAGAGTCCACGGGGAGATATCGCAGACGGATTCCGCGACCCCCCCCGCGATATGTTAGCACATTTATTGAAAATAAAATAATCCACCGGCCCCGGATGTCGATGTGATGTTCCCTTAAGTAATGGGGCATCAAAGGGATATGACCGGAACCTCAAGGGACCCCCAGAATAATATCAAAGGAACACCAGAGGAGTCTCAAAGGAGTCCAAAATAATCACAATGGAAACGGCAAGGACTTTCAAAAGAAGCCAATCGGAGTATCAAAGGAATCTCTGAGGAACCTCACAGAAACGCACAGAATCACAGGAAGCGACTCTGGGCAGGTGTGCCTTGTCGCTGGGCTCTGGACTACAAGGGGACTGGGCATTCAGAGGCTTGTGGAGGCCTTTCTGGATGCATCCTGGGAACCTCCGGGGGGACCTCCCCATCCGCGGACCCGGGGGATATCGCTTCCGCCCCGGCCCCGGTGCCGGAAGCGTTATAATTTCCTCTGATGAGGGGGGGGGGGGGGGAGGGGGGTTTACTGATTGCTTCCCAGGGTTAAGCTCTAAGAGGCCTCTCTGCTCAACGACCCGGGCACGGTGGCGGCATTGGACGAGGGCCAGCAGACGTGTCATAAATCAGTAGCGTACCCCGCGAAGCAAACTGCTCTTCTACGTCGGGGTTTCTCCGGCCCCTCGCGGACATGGAGGTGCGCGGGGAAGACCAGGACGACGAGAGCACTCCTCGGTGCGGCCTCGCTCTACTTACGCCGCCTTCCGCCGACCGTCCGTCTTCGTCCGCGGAGGAAGAGGTGCCGACTCCTTCGATCCTCGGCGGCGAGGCCTCTGCTGGTACGCCCCACGCACGTGGGAGTGCGAGGAGTTGGACGGCGAGGGGCTGGAGCTACCAGCTTCGACCAGGCACGTTGCACGCAGCCTCGGACGAACGACGGCGCCCTGTGCTGCAGTGCAAGGTGGAAGCTTCCGAGCTTAAGGCCGTGCCTTGACCACGTTCCCCACACGTGTGATACGAGCTGGCTTCGCACCGTTAGATGTGCCCCTTGTCCGTAGCAAGTCGCTGCTGCAATCCCATTCGCGCAGACAAACACATTCGCGGGCTCTCCGCTTGCCCATGGTGGCCTCCAAAGCCGATGTCGCACATTGCCCTCCGAAATCCTACGAGCCCGTAGGTCAACGTTTTTGTTATTCGGCGCTTCGCCATTGGGCGGAAGGGGGGGGAGGGGGGAGGGGGGGAGGGGGGTCTGGCCCTGGACCTCTGCTCAGCGCGACTGGCCCCCCTGCTCGAAACAGGCGCCAAAAAACAGCCAAGGTCTACTCCAAGGGGGGGGGAGGGGGGAGGAGGGCCCGCGCCGATCGGCAAAACGATGAATCAAAAACGATCGCTGGGTGTTTTAGCTGCTCAGCTCTTCCAAAATCCTGTTGCCCCTTCGGTGAAAGGTCGTCCTCCTCCTCCTCCTCCTCCCTCCTCCTCCTCCTCCTCCTCCTCCTCCTCCTCCTCCTCCTCCTCCTCCTTCTCCTCCTCCTCCTCCCCTTCCTTCGACCCCGCCATGGGAACCTGGACGGCCCACCCCCGTAGTGGGGGTTATAGCACCCAAAATGGTTCCAAGATGGCCTCCGGCAGCCCAAGGTAGCCCCCCAACTCGCGCAGGACTGTCGCACTTGTTTCAATGTGGCCCCCAGCACGCCTCCAAGGAGCACCAAGACCGCCACGAGACGGCCCGAGGTGGTGGAGTGTTCCAAGCATGCCCCCGACAGGCCACGATCGTCAAAACCTGACGCATTACAAACAATGATGCATTCTCGGCTGTTCCACAGGCTCGATTCCGATTCACTTCGAAAGCCTCAACGTGGCCTAAGAGGTGCCGACAAGTGCTCAAGCCGCTGAGCACCCCATGAGCACCCGAGAACATTCCCAAACAGGACGGCAGGAGGCCATCGGGGAACATCGAGAACGACGAGGGTTCGAGAGGGCAGCCAGGGACCCCATGTCTTCATCCACAGCCTCCACAGGGGGGATGGCCCCACGAGCGCCCGAGAGGCCCCGACGACAGCCCCGAGCGCGAGCCCCAGAGGCCTCGGCCCCCGAACGAAAGAGAGAGAGAGAGAACACACAACACGACATTCACACTCCAGATGGCTCCAACAACCACCTTGTTCGAGCAGCCAGCGCCTTTGACGCCAACTGCACGAAGGGCCCCTGGGCGAGGTCCGCCTCGCCCAAAAGGGAGGGCCAGGGCTTAGACGTTGCCAAGCCGAGACCACGCCTGCCGATGCAGCCAAGCTACAAAAGGGCGACCTCGCCTCGGCGCGCGCCGCTTTGGGAAGGACGCTTCGCGAGTTCCTTTCGAGAGAGAGAGAGAGAGGAACAAAATCAAGGAAAGGGATCGGGGACGCGCTGTCGCGGTTCGAGGCCAGAGCGGGCCGCAGGAGTGGGAGGAGGAGGAGGAGGAGGACGAGGAGGAGGAGGAGGAGGAGGAGCAGGAGGAGGAGGAGGCCAAGGAGAAGGGAGGAGGATGAGGAGGGAGAAGGATGAGGAGAAGAAGGAGGCAGGAGAAGGGGAACAGGTTGAACCCAAGTTCCCCCTTCATATGCCCCTACACGTGCTCGTTCAACTGAAGGAACTGCCTGGTTTGGGAACAACTGTTTGAAGGTCCTTTATGCATGCCAAAACACCCTTCTCGGGAACTCAATGCCGCAAATCAGCCTTACTGTTGCGCACTGACAATCCTGAATCGTCCCAGAACGCCTTTCCTGGAATTTCAACACCGCGAATCAACGTAGCTTTTGCGCCCTCACAACCCAGAATCCTTCCAAAACAGAACTTATGGCACGTTGACCATGCGATTCCGCGAAACTCTTGCAATTGTGTAAAGCGAATGCGCGCTGAGCTAAAGCGAGAAACACATGTTGAAAACGAGCCGCCTTCAATCCGTGAAACTCTGGCAAATGTTTGAAACGAATGTGCGCGGCGTCCGAGAGACAACCACATGTTGAAAACGGCCCGCCCTCAATCCGTGAAGCTCTTGCAAACGTTTGACACGAACGCGCGCGGAGCCCAAGCGAGAGCCACACTTAAAAAACGGCCCGCCATCAATCCGTGAAGCTCTAAGAGGAATGAGCGCGGCGCTCAGGCGAGAGCCACATTTTGAAAACCACCCG